CCGCAGGGCCGGCGGGGCAGCCCCTCTGGGGCAGCCCCGGGCGCTCCTCCAGGCCCTGCTTGTAAAAAAAAAAAAAACAGCTTGTGTTTCGCCTCATGCTCCCTCCGGGCGCCTCAGCGCCGTGAGTCCCGCTGCCGTTCTCTTCTCCTGTGGCGTGCCTCGGTATGCAAAGAGACTGCCAGGTTTCCAGCTAGGCCCAGGGTGGAAGGTGAGAAAGGACGGAGCCTGGTAACGCGTGCTCTGTGGAGAGGAAAGGGCATAATTTTCAGGCAGAGGCATATGTTACTCTGAATGGTTATTCTGATGCCAGCTGAGGGAGCGAACCATTTACAGACCTCCAGAGGTCTTTCCTGTGACTGCCTGCTATAGGCGACAAGGCTTCCTACAGGTACTGCCTGCTAAAGGTGACTGGCTTCTTTCCACTTTCTGTTAATTCAGTTTTGTGCAGCCTGTAAGTGTAAATAACAAACCGTTAGCGTGCCACAAAATTAATGTGGATTTAGTTTGAATGGGCAATGTGTTTTGGCAGAGGGATGAATTCCAGTTATGATAATAGTCCATACTGAAAACCACAGCACTGTATGTTACTTCCAATCCCTAAGTGTATTTCACCTGTCAGTGAGAGGGAAGTATTCACCATGGTCAAAGATGAAGTATGGCCAGTTTATAGTAAAATCTGATTCAGAAATATTTAGCCATTTGTTTGATTTTACTGGAAGTTAGTGAATTCTTGTCTAACTTCTTTGGAGTCGTCATTAATATGCAGTTCAGCAACAGTCACTGATAAAGTTTTCACTTCAAGACTAATACTATTTTTATCCTTTATGAAGATCTATTTTATCAGTGCTTTCTTCTACAAACTTTTTTACTTCTTTATGCTTCAGTTTCTACTAATCAGCAGTTTGGTTTTCACTTCCTGGCTGTCCATTATCACTAGTTTATCTAATGAAGTGATTAGTAGGAAAACAGCTGAAAGTGTCATTGCTGGGATGTGAATTAGAGTAGTAGGAAAACAGCTGAAGGTGTCATTGCTGGGACATGAACTAGATTAGCAAATAAACTATTAAGGGGAGTAACAAGTCGCTTTTTTTTTTTTTTTTTTAAGTTTGTTCATACTGCATGAAGTCATCAATTTCAGTTACTTGCTCTGGAGTTAGAGGGATAACTTCACACCTATGAGATGTATAAATTAACTTGTTAAAAAGGCTTTTTTCATTCCTTTTAGTAGAAATGGAATAGACCAGTAGGGCATATAATCAAGAGTATTGGAGGGATTTGATACTTATATTTTAATTTTTCTGGAATTTACTGTGGAGATAGATGATCACGTCAGTATGGGAACACCTACTGTGGTTGCTAGTGCTCTAGCACTAGTTGCTAGTAAGGATACTTTTTTGGAGTTAAAAAGCTATATTCTCCACAAACTCGTTCTTTGGAGAGAATAGCTCACCACTTGTATCTTTAGTGATGTATGTGGAGAAAAAATAGTGCTGTGCATGAGAGATTACACCATGAATAGGCTAGTTCAAACTAACTTCAGTTTTCTGGAAAAAAAAAAATCCTTCTAATATTTTGCTATCCTATACACTGCAGTGATGTTTTGAAAATAACTTGTCTTTTGGGTAAATCAGATATTACTTTCATTGCTAAAAATTGTCAGAAGTTTGTGTCTGCCTGTGCACACATATTCTTCAGAAAGCAGCGTTATTATTTTTTTTATTTTTAAAACTCTTAATATTTTAATAGCTTATTCATTTATGCTTTAATTACTGAGTAGAGTCAGTGAATTGGAAAGTGGAATACATTTAAAGCTGTTGTCTGTGAAGGTTTGCAAGGATCTTATATTTACATCCTCTTCTTGGCTACTTATCTGAGTTGTATTGTGAGAGGCTGAAAGAGGCAGGGTGTTTGGGTATTTTTAATAAGTGACAATTTATACATCTATATATATTTTTAAAAACCCAATGTTATATGTATTTACAGGTTTTAAAGTAAGAATTGAGTATGTTTATTGAGTACAGAGCATAATGAAATTGCATAATCTGGGACCAAGGCAGCTGAAATAACTCTTTGCTTAGTTTTTCCTCTATTTGTAAGTCCTTTTAACTTCTAGGCCTGCCTTGGTTCAGACTTGTGTTTTTTTTATTTGTTGAGATCATCCTTTTCACCAAATGAAGAAGATCAGTTCCCGTTAAAGCTTTAGTTAAACTTCTAATGATGCTATAATTGAGTAAACAATTATAAATTAGACATTGCTCTGCATGAATGGCAAAGTATCTTTTACTTATGTTAGAAATGTTAAAAACTGTAAAGTAATACTGGTGAACTTACATGTATCTGAATCAGCTCATGCTTAAGTCTCTCATGGCTACCCTTAGAACTCTTAGTACAGCAGTACAAGCATATAAAATATCATCCTCTAAATTTATTTTTTAAAAGTTTAATTTTCAGGTAATGGACCTTCAGATGCATTATGAATCCACCCGCTGATTAAAAGACTGACAGGTAGCTGGAATGGTGTGCCCCAGTTCATGTTGGTGGATGATTAAGGATTAAGCTAGGTATATGGAATGTCTGTTTTGTGCAAGGAGGGTGTTTAGATTTGGAAGGGAATTTTTTTGTTTGAGAGCTCTTTGTGTTTGTCTCCTATTAGATTATTTCATTTTCCCCCACCTCAAGACTGTAGGTATAATTTCTTTTATTAGAGAAGGTAGCGACTCACAGAAAGGTTTTGATGCTCACTGTGATTCAGGACATGTAGGAAGCAAATGTTCTTGTGATGGACTAAATAAAACTCAATTAAAACTTGCAAACAAGTATTGATAGTATATAAAGACTTCGTTAGACCCTTCATGGAGTAGAATGGGAAAGGTAATTTCTATACTCTGATAGTTTGTGACACTGTTGCTAATCCAAGGACCTCCATTTGTGCTTTGACATCAAATGCTGTTGTGCAAGTCAAGAAAGTAATTTGATCTTCTCCTGTGTTTAATCTTTTATAGTCTTTAAAAGTGGCATTTCTGAAAATTGCTAAAGACTGCTACCCAGAGAATATTTGGGAAGGAAGGAAACAAGTTTATGACTATATACTATCAATACAAAAAAGTATATTGTAAAATGAATGAGTCTTCAAGTTGTAAATAATCAAGGGGTAGGGAGTGATGTCTGAATTATTAACATATATCTGAATATAGCAATGAAGCACATGGTCTTTCAGGGAAAAAAAACCCATTTAATTACATATTCAGAATGGGTGAGAGTGAGAATGTCTTTCCTTTTCCTATTTTTTTAAACATATGAAAGTCATTTCAAAGCTATGAGGTTCAGGGTAGGGGGAAAGAAAGCAGGGAGGAGATGAACAGATGTCTGCAGAAAAACTAGCAGTAACTTAAACAGTAAACAAATCAGTCAACAATTTGAGGTTATAATGTAAGTACCTTATTACCTATGTGCTGTATTTCTGTACTGGTTGTAATGACCTACTCTAAAAAAAAAAAAAACAAAACAAAAAAAACGCCAAAAAAAACAAAGCAAAACCAACCAACTTCAGTAAATTAGTTTGTAAGCATGGTGTGCTCTAAGAAGAAGAAGAAAAATAATAAGAAGAAACGAACATGAATAAGCTTTTGAATTGAAAGATAGCTCTGTATTTAATAAGAAATGTTCTTCATATATTACCAATAAGCTCATTCTGGATTAACATCAGTCTAACTGAGAATAAGATATATTATATTACTTTATTTTTAATATCTGACTTCTAAAGCTTTTTAGGTATTTAATGATTTTTGGGGCAGAGAGTTTTTTTGAAGATTCTCAAGGTAATACTTTTTTAAAAAAGAAGTTCAGCATGTTTGTTTGTTCCAGTTTAGCGCATGTCTCCTTTAAGCTATACGGTCCCTGGTAGAAACTAATTTAATTATTTCTTAGTCAGTTACTGATATTAGTGCCTGCTTTCTCTGAAAGCCTGGTTTAGGTATTAGAAAGCAAGATCATTGCCTTGGACTTCAGGAGAACAGACTCTGGTCTCTTCAGCGATCTGCTTGGAAGAATCCTATGTGATGAGGCCCTGGAGAGGTGCAGGAAAGCTGGTTGATATTCAAGGATCACCTCCTCAGAGCTCAAGAGCAGTCCAGCCCAGCGAGTAGGAAGTCAGGCAAAAATGCCAGCAGTCCTGCATGGATGAACAAGGAGCTCATCACAAAACTCAGACATAAAAAGGAAGCATGCAGAAGCAGGGACAGGTAACCTGGGAGGAGTATGAAGGCAGTGTCTAGCCATGCAGAGATGTGATTAGGAAAGTCAAAGCCTGCCTAGACTTGAACCTGGTGAGGGATGTCAAAGGCAAAAAGAAGTGCTTCTGTAAATACATCAGTAGCAGAAGGATGACTAGGGAAAATGTGAGATCACTGCTGAATGAGACAGGGGCTCTGGTGATGCGGGACGTGGAAAAGGCTGAGGTGCTGAAGGCATTCTTCACCTCCTTCTCTACTAGCAAAGACCTTCAGGAATTGTAGAACCCAGGAGAAAGTCTGGAGCAGGGAAGATGTATGCTTGGTGGAAGAGATTTAGGTCAGAGAATATTTAAGTAAACTGGACATATATAAGGCTCTGGGCACTGATGGGATGCACCCGTGAGTGCTGAGGGAGCTGGCTGATATCACTGTGAGGATGCTCTTGATAATACTTGATTGATCATGGAGACTGGGAGAAGTGCCTGAAGACTGGAGGAAAGCCAATGTCACTCCTAACTTCAAAAGGGCAAGAAGTACCACCCAGGGAACTACAGGCTGATCACCTCACCTTGA